CTTGCTATTGCTCCACAACCTCGTCCTTTTCGGGGTCCTCGCTCCATAGGAGCCCATCCACAGGTCCAGGCGAAATACCTGGGATACGAAGGCTGGCGGGAAGCTTCATAAACCCAAAGCCAAAGCCCAATCACGACAGAGTTTGTATATTTAAGCGCTAGAAAGGAACTCGCACGATATCGAGAAGCCATAAGAACCGTCGGCTTTGAAACAGCAGCGAAGTCCGGGGTTGCTCGATGACCCATGTAACATTGAGTGCTTGACAGAGTAAGCACAGCAGGGCACACCTTGCAAGGGGTTTAATTGACAGTACGGGGATAGGGTTAGTGGGGTTTTGCGAGACCAGAGGATAAGGTTCTATAGTATACGGTGAAAAGTTGTTGTTGGGATTAGTTACCAATATAGGTTTACCTATAGGGTTTACAAAGCCCGGCCTACAAGGAACGGTTGAAAGGCTCAGGTGTAAGCGGTTTCAGTGACGAGGGGCTTCGGGTCTATGTGGCTCATGAATCCTATAAACTACAAAAAAACCACCATGAAATCAAAGCCTATCAAACCTTATAGATTCCGGATCGGACCCTTACATAGGAACTCTTCAAGGAGCTGTATTGTAAAAAAGCAACCTTAAACCCCAGTTTAGAGCAAGGTTCGGGGGTAACAGGGTTATATATATATATGTATATATGGGCTGTATACTGCTAATATACATGCCGGGAAGATACAACTGCTATATGCCTTAATTGAGGTTCCTGTACAATAAATATTTTGGACTGGCAGGGCAGGCCTCGCTGCCATGTAGTTTCCGTTGGAAACACTGGGGTAGCTTTCCCATCCCTCGGGATTGGCAAAGGTCCTTTTCGTTGATCCCTTTGCTATTGAGACCCATGAGCTACAAAGCACCCCCATCCATATACAGCCGTTCCGTCGAGCACGTAGGATAGCGCAGCAAAACGTCCTCGGAAGAGGAACCGGAAGGAAGCCCCCGAGAACACACAAGGGTTCAAGGATTCTTGACAAGCTGCCCAAAGCCCGAAGGTTCACAAATGTTCATTCCTCGTCCATACTTCCAATCGATAGCTGCAGACTCCTGACCTGAAGAATGGAATTCCCGAGCCAGCTTGGCATGCCCACTGAAGAGCTCAGCAAAGTCCAGCTCCTTGACATACACATGTAGCTGGAGGGCAACAGTTTGGGCATGCGGTGTACCGCAGGGAATGCATCGATCCTTACACAGGGTCCTGCGAGAGATCTAGATCAGAATTCCAGAGAAGCAGCAAAATAGAAAGGACAAAGACCTCCGCAGGGAAAGTACAGATGCAATGTCCAATCCTTTGCACTACAATTGAACGAACGACTCCCCAAGACTGTGACATTAATACCTCCTGGCCTTGGGGGCCCCAAGCTTCATCAGGCTGACAGCGAGCTGATCCACCGTCCAAAAGGCCATGAGTGCAAGACTCAGCTAGTGGGGTGGCTACGCATGACTGTGCAACCTGATAGTTGAGATATTGCTGTCTGAGCTGAGCTGTCGATGAGGGCAGTGTGGCAGATTCTCAAAATTGCACATGGCATTGGGCTTGATTTCAACAATCCTGCACATCAGAAACGAAGCTCATCACAGAATCAGTACGACATATGAACCACTCGCAGACCCTTCCAAAATCTCGCCAGCAACACTTGCTCGCACAGCAGCACAAACGAGGTGCGCTGCCCGCTGTTTTCGCTGAAGGGCGGCTCGTACCTGCACGAAGAAGCCGCTGGCACAGTGTTATATGGGTGTTTAGCTGGTTCTTATATACGGTCTACTGATATATGATACATACGTGAGTTGGTGAAGAGTGAGGAGTTGATTCTTCACAGGCGGAACATGTACGGCTTCGAGGTTTGAAGAACCTAGATATAGGATTGTTGGCAAAACGAGAAGCCTGGCACCCCGAAGTTTTCTGTATCCCTAGAAACAAGACTGCTTTAATCCCAACCCAAGAAGCCTTGCGACGGTTAGCGAGGGTACAGCTTGTATAAAGTTGAGTAGCTTATGTAGGGCTTCTGGGTTTCTACAGGGAAGGGCTTCTGAGGGTTTACAGGTTTGCAAGGCTGAGTGATTACAGAGCCTTCTTTAGAGCCTCGGGACCTCTGGTCAGTGCTGTAAACAATGCAACCCAAGAAGCTTTGGGGCTATATGGGAGTTTCCGAAAATTAAGGTACCTTATTTGGGGGTCCTTATTATAAGGGTTTTTACTATTTAAAGTACTATATTAAGGTCCCCCATTTTCGGAAACTCCCATATAGTTCTGGTTATACATATATATATAGTAGAAGCCAGAAAGTTGGAGCATCATTATCCCCATGGCCTTAAGGTAAAGTATAAGGGGATCCTAGCACTAATCCTCCTAAAGCCATGTTCCAACTTTCTGGCTTCTACTATATATGTATACCCGGTAAGTATGGGAATGGGTTTATAATCCGATTCTCGGGGCCGCATAATCTACAAACAGGAGTGCTATAATTAATGCAACCCAAGAAGCTTTAAATTGGGGCTATATGGGAGTTCCCGAAAATTAGGGGTACCTTATTTGGGGGTCCTTATTATAAGGGTCCTATACTATTGAAAGTACTATATTAAGGTCCCCTATTTTCGGAAACTCCCATATCTCTAGGCCGCATAATCTACAACAGCACATATAGTGAATGCACATGGAGCCTCGGGACCTGTGGTTTCACTAAAGGAGGCTGTATTGGCTTTAGGCAGACAATCTTTCGCACACAAGCAGCCGTGATGAACGCAGGCAATTGATTGCCATTGCCAATGAAACTGGCAGCACAGCTAATTGTGATTGCCACTCTGTAGCACGGTGTCATCGAGCCCCACAAGTTGGCGCACCGAGGCCCCGACTTTTCTACGTCCCAAAGTAAATCAAGAGTACTGTAACCGTAAACCACAGAAGCCTTTGTATGAGCTTACATCGAAACCCTCCAGCCATGGACCCTTTTAGCCACAAAACTTTCCCACTGCAAACCCTGCCATGGGACCCTACGACCACCGAGGCAACTATGATACCCTAAATGTTCTGACTCATGAGCATTTCAATTCTTGATCATATGACGATAGTCGCTTAGGATATATGTAGGGTTGGACAATGGGGCATTGGGCATTTATACCGATGCCTGCGTTTTGTACAACATACAAGCGGTTGAAGGCTTATTAGTGGGATTATTGTAGGGTTTGTAACTCAACAGGTGGGCTGGGAAGTTGATAACATCTCCACTAGAAGGGCTCACCTACAGGATCAGTGCAGTTATGGCTTGAAGGGATCGTGAGTGTTTCTGGGGCGGTTACAGATTTTTTGGCAAAGCTTCAGTTGCATGTGGAGCCTCGGGGCCTCTGCACAGAAGCAGCCCTAACGAATGTTGGCCATTGCCAATTTCTGAAACTGGCACAGCACTTGCGATTCGATGCCACTCCGTAGCACGGAACCATCCCACAAGCAATGCGTGAAGGCTAGACTAGCAGCTGTAAGCAAACCCATCAGCGAGATTTTAGCTCGCTGCCCAATTGCATGTTGCGCTAGCAGATGCACACAGCCAAGGATGGATGTTCCCCGTCATCCGTGCCATGGTCAGGCAAGCAAGACCCAATATAATACATCATGCATACACTAGCCTAGGCTTCCGCCGGTACGTATAGATTCTATAATCATAAGTTCGGGCAGGATGCTTTGAAATATCATCGCTAAGCGATCACATCTGTGTCTCAAGAAAATCTCTGGCGGCCATTGTGCAACTTTTGTACGTGGCCGCGCGGCTATAGGATTCATCGTGCTGGTTCGAGTAGTCCTTCGCATAGTCGAAGAAGGCGAACTGAGAAGGGGCAGGGAATGTATGTTGGTTATGATAACGTTTTATAGTGGTAAAGGTTGCGTTGGCGCAGGTTGGGGGTAGTTAGGCCTACACTGTTCAGCTCTGGCATTCGCGAGCGAATGGCTCCCACATTCAAGTAGGATCAGACCCTCCATCTGTATGTTGAAATCGTTCCCGGGATCTGGGCTCAATACACACGCTGCTCTCCACTTACAACGACCAACAACGGGATTTCAGCCTGTGCAACCGAAACAAGACGCTACCTTTCTCAGGCAGGCGGATTGAACAATAAGCGTCACATTGCCAACCGTAGCAAGACCGGTAGCCACATTCATTGAGCCGTAGTTTGAACCAAAAGGCGACTTAGGGTTTGGGGTAAAGGGACTGGTTAGGGGTTTATAAGGTTTAAACAGTTAAACCTGAAAGCAAAACCTGGTCATGCCTGGTTTGTCGAAAGAATAATTTCTGCAATATGAGGGCTTCATCGAATCATTGTCTCCACGTCCCTGTTCTAGAATTTCGGTTCAATCTGCGGTTGGGGTCGCGTTTGCACGAGATCTCGAACTCAAATCTGATGCTAGCTCAACGTCTACAGCTCAGGATTTGGGGCTAACAGTTCCAAATCAACATGAAAGCACTCACGTTTGCTGCACTTGGTGCATCAACTGTCACCGAATCGAAACATTGTTGGTTTTTCGAGTGGTGTTTACGGGCTCACGGTTCTTCGAGGTTTGGGGCAGCAGCGGATGCACACGAGAAGCCGTGACACAAAACACGTGGATTGCAAAAAGGATGCAACAGGCAGGAGCTGCTTCGCTTAATTTTTCGGCACACGACACCGTCTGGCAAGGTGCGAGGTGATCCGCATTCCACGTGCTGCAGACCGTGACCGCGATACAGCTTAGGCTTAAGGCTTAGGCGTTAAGCTTGGAGGCGGAGTGGTCGGGGCTTAGGGCGAACAGTTTATGATGTATCGATCATCGGTCGCCCCTGCACGTGATCACGAATGCCTGGTACACTGACTGCGCTTGCCTTGCCATGTCTGATCCACATGACATGAAGCTACCAAGAAAGGACGAACTGCAATCAAACGCCTTTAGCTTTTGATTAAAATCATGGCACGAACCGCCCAGCGATCGAACTCACGGAGCTGCCGATGTAACCTCACGCATCTTCTGCACGAGGTTGGCCGAGATCCGCTGAGGAGCCACTTGCGAAATCTGGTCGAGGTCCTCGCAGGCATCCTTGGTCTTGGGCATGATGCGCTTCAGAACGCCTGAAGCTTGCTTCCTCGCTTTCAATGCCACACAGCACCCAGGAGGGATCATCAGCACAAACTGCTCTTTCACGATGCCTCGCCACAGGAGCTTCACCAAGTCATTCGACTCGCCGGGCTTCAGCTCACGCATCACATTCAGCATCCCTTCCACGCTGGTCGGCACTGGGCTTGTCGACTTGATAATGCTGGATGCCTGAGAAGTTGAGCCATACAATTTCAAATCTAACCAGAAAGGAAACAGGTCAGGAATCCAAAGGATCACAACCTCGGGCTTCGAGCCTCAACTCTGTTCACTAACAACTGCATCTACAACCCTCGGTCCAAATCGTAGGCACAAGAAACTAGAACTAGAGTAGGAAGTGGATCATGATGATCATGCCAGGGCACACGAACGATCATCACGTCGAGCTCGCCTTCATGCTGGTACCGCAAGCTCCCCGTGATCTCGGGCTCCAGGAAGTAGTACACACAGTCTTCCAGGAACCCGTGGATGGTCGGGGTTGAGAAAGCCTCTTTGAGCGCATCGGGGATTTCACTGGACTCCAAGAACTTGGAGGCCTCGACTTCCTTCAGCATGTCGTCGAAGCTCTTCATGCAAGCTTCTGCACCCATGTTCCTGGCGATTGGTGCGGAAACACAACGCTGCTTGAGGCACAGCGGATGAGTGGGGAATGTCTCGCGCCACCTCGACAAAGTACTTCCCATCTGTTCGGACTCCCAATGCTCTTTGGGAGAGGCCACCTTGATAAGGAAGGGCTTGGTCCAGTCCGCCGCATTGAACGAGTCAATCTCCGGGATGGCCATCATCTCCTTCGCATCGATCGTGAAAGGCACCTGCCACGAGGCGAGCAAGGCGCTGCGCTTCACCTCCGCGACTTCCTGGGTGGCCTTCTCCTCATTCTGCTGCCGCTGGCGTTTTTTTTCCTGGGATTCGGTCTTCGCTGCATCTTGTTGTCGTCGTTTATGCTGCTTCTTCAAGTCCTTCACAGCCACGCCGATGGAAGACATGAGCTCGGAGGCCTGCTCCTTCTTTCTCTGGAGGCTTTGCACGATCTTCTCCAGATCATCTTTCGTGGTCTGGGCCTTGAGCTGATTCACCAGGGCCGCCATCTCGTTCAAGGGACAAAGCTGCTCTTTCACAGACACGAAGCAAAACTGGTTCATGCATTCCTGGATCTGCTGCCCGACCTTGTCCTGCTCGCTCTCGCCGATCTGCTCGGAGGTCACCTCCAAGCCGTCAACCTGCATGGTTTGTCCTAGCCACAGATACCCGATCTTCATCCTCGTCTTGAGCTCGTCCACGAAATCGCCATCCTGGCTGCAGTCGCTGGCTTTGATGGAACTCGCACCTTCCTTGAGCTGATCGTCGAAGCGCTTCTGCAAGGTGTTGAGCTCGCGATTTTGAAGGGCGAAAGCTGTGTTGCGTAGGGAAGGCAAATCAAGCTTGGTTTTCTTGTTCGGCTTCTTCTCCTCGTCCTTGTCCTTGTCCTTGTCCTTGTCCTTCTCCTTCTCCTTCTCCTTCTCCTTGTCCTTCTTCGGGTCCTTGGGCCCGGATGGCGGCACGCTCGTGACGTCGTCGTCAGGCACCTCCAACGCCTTTGACAAGAACTCGTTGATATCCGCACCGCTGGCACTGTCTGGCACAGACCACATGTCGCTCATCTTCCGCTCAAAGCTGCTGCTCTGCCCCAGCACGGGCCCATTGATCTTCTGAAGCATGCCCTCACGGAACTCATCCACCTCCTCGTGCTTTCGCTTTGCAGCCTTACCTTGGCCATCAAACAATCATTGTGCAAAAAGCATCTCAAACAACCAGGAAGAACACTGCAACCACTCGTGGTTCGACCAAGCTGCTGCTCTGGGCAACGTGGCGGTCCACGTAGTGGCTCGTCTTCTCTTGTAGGACATCTTTGCCGAGGAGCCACGAAGGAATCGCCAGTCGAAGACGACTGGCAGGAGGGCCGCCCTCGTCACGCTCGGTGTCTGGGTTCGCCCTGAGCGCCTCCCACTGCTGGTGAGCCTGCGGGCAGGGACTACGGCATGCAAAAGCATCACGCCACACTGCAAAGTCTTGCAGCACAAAGGTACGGGCTGGACGCTGATCAAAACTTGGCCTGAGACTGCACACTGTGTGCGATACCCAACCCGCCTTCTGGGCCGTCCATCCCCGCTTGTGCGCCATCTTGTGCTGAAACAGCTCCCAGTCGAGCAAGGGGTTGCCTTTCAATCGGCTGGCCTCGTCCCTGACACCCTCTGTCTTCACATAGGTCGTGAGGTCCAGGGTGCCACGGTTTTTGCCCTTCTCCTTGGAGTCCGGGAACTTGGCACTGAAGTCCAGCAGCACCTGGGCCTGCAAGCTTTCATCACCATCTGGACCGAAGATCTTCTGGAATGCTTGGAACTGCTCGTCGTTCTCTTCCCACTCCTTCGCCTCTGCAGCCTTGTCCTTGCCTTTGGGCCGATCCTTCGTGACCCGCCGGTAGATGGATTCGTAGGACCGTTTCTCTCGGCCGCAATACACTGATTGGCTCGCCACAAATCTTGCACAATCTGCTGGCCGAGGAGTTGCTGCAATTGCTGCCGGTGCTCAAGCGCCCCCTTCTACCTCGGGGAGCTTCCTGGGCGGCATGCGCGGGACACAAGCCAGCCTCTCCTCGTTCGGCATGTGCCGGACAGAAGCTACCCAGAGCCGCCGTGACCTCAAACATCACTCGATTGGGAGTCGGGAGGCCAAGGTGGCTAGCAAAAGCAGCTGTGCTGCTCGACAAGACAAACTGCATGTCAGGTAGCAGCTTAATGTAGCATGCCTGCTCACACTTCACAACAAGAACTACAGATGCCATCTGCACGGTCGACTCTGCTGCTGTGCATCCACACTCTAAGCTTGCACTGATTGCACTGACACTTCTTCGAAACTCTCGATCTGCGCAGTCAAAACTCGCGAAGGCCAGCAGTGTGCTGGCACATGTACAACCAACCTTTGCGGATCTGCTTCTGATCTCTGCAAGAGTCGCCGGCCAAAAATGGAAGGAAAGAGGCAGACAGAAATGAACCAAAGTAGCGAACCTGTTCGGGAATCAAGGATGTGTGCTACGTGGCATGTGGAAACTCGGGGTACTCAGCCAGCGAACTCTGCAACACACTCAGTCACCAAGACTACGAGGCCATGCCCTCATCGCCATCACCCACCAAGCCCATCTCCATGTACTCGAAGGATCGCTTTCTACCTGCTGCCCGTGGACGCACATCTACATCTTTTCGCACCAAATTGCCGAAGACGAAAAGGTGCCACGCAGCCATCGCCGCCAAGTGCATTCCGTTGCCACAGAGCAGCAACCGGCGAGGAGCAGGAAGCTCCTTCGTGTCTGAGGCCAACTTGTAGCTCGGACTCATGCCTTGCGAAAACTCTATGGTGTCCGCAGTGAAGAAGCTGTTCTTGGAGAACGAAAACAGCTGTGTGTTTTTGAGGATCGTGGGCAGCAAGCAGTAGCTGACACGCTGTCTTTGTATACTCTGACTCAGGTCCACGATGCAAGTCACGCCAGGGTCCTTGTCCTTGGCCTTGTCGTAGAGGTCTTGGTAGTGGTCGAAGTTCTTTTTCTGGAACGGCGCCAACAGATTCTTCACCGGCGCCGTCATCACCTGCTCATCGTTCAGATACAAGCCTCGCAGCTTGGCCATGCTTTTTCGAATTTCAAGTTCTTGGCCGGGTGGCTGCATCTCGACAAAGTAGTCGCCACTCCCCACCGTTTCTTTGCCGAAGATCTTCAACAACGCGCTCGTCATGTCAGCAGCGGGATTTCCAGCCCACACGAACTTGTCGGCACGGAACGCCGTCATCAGCTTTCGCCTGCGGCGGCATGCCCAGCCCAAGTCCTCAGGCCCAAAGGTAGCCACCTTGATCACATAGAGGTCGCCCAAGTGCTTGGCCAACTCGTCTTCTGGGAACAACGGACTGTTCTCCAGGGTCACCACATCGTACTTGTTGGCACGGACTTCGTTGATCCACAAGTAGAAGGACTCTGTGTGGGGCGAAGCCAGCTTCCCTCGTGCCCCAGCTTGTGACCAGGGTGTACACATCGACCCTGCCACAAGAAGACTCAGCTCCTTGCAACCTGTCATGTGTGGCCGACACTGCTGACCTTCATGCTCCGGCTTGAGGCAGCTCATCTTAGCGGCATCCGAGAAGCACCGAGCGAGGTTCTTATTCAAGAAGGTGTTCTGCTTTGCATAGGCCTTGGCCTTAGCCTCATCTGGACTCTTTGGGTCCGGACGCATCTCTTTCAGCCTCTTGGCAAGCTTGTCTGGCACTCGCGAAAGCAGCTCGCCGAACACATGTTCTGGGGGATCTTCTGCATCCAGGCACAGGTTGATGCAGTGCCGGTCGATGTCGCACGCACGCCACCACTTCAAGCCCTGCTCTGGCAGCGAGCATGACAGCTCGGCAGCGAGCCCTTGCCACATCATGTTGAGAGCACTTTCGGCTCCCCGCTTTCCGGAAAAGTCCGAGTGGCCGATGATGCCGGCGGCCACCAAACGCTCAAACCTGTAGACCATGTTGCGATCCCTGCCGAAGTCGCCGGCAAGCACCCGCGGCCACTCACGATAGAACTCAGTCGTCATTTCCCGATGCTGTGCTGCTAAATTGGTTACTTAAACTCATATGACCACTGCTGCACATCAGCTAGCGACCTGTCAAATCTGGCACACAGTACTGCGCAGTCTTGCTATACCCTTGCACACACTGGATGCACTGGAAGACACACCGACACAACACTTCAATTGCTTCTCTGTCGTCGGAACTGACCGGCCAGAATCACTTTCGAGCATGCCAAACCTTTTCGCTTTTGCTGCTCGCTCTCTCTCGCTCTCTCTCTCGCTCACTCTCTCTCTGACCCTCTCTGTATCGGCCTGTTTTGGTCCTCCTTTAATTACAAAAAGGTAGACTTCTACTTGAAATCTACCCTTTCCTAATTAACGGAGGATCAAAACTGGCTTCTGGAGCATAGTGCTTGGTGGGGGGAATCGGCTCTCTGTCCCTCTCTCTGCTGCCATGGCCACATCAGCATAAAACTGTATCAGCAACACCCGCCAAGCTGTTGGGTCTCTATGACTTGCTACTCAGTAGAAGAAGAGTCTTGGGCCTCTACGATTTGCTATCACCAGGAAGCCTAGGTTTGCGGAGTTTATACAAGCCTAGCCCGAGTCATGATACCCATCAACTATCATACGGTTCAGTGTCCACGCTGAGCCTTCCAAAGGTCGTGCTTGCACGAGTTGGACATCCTTGTGGAGTAATCTCCTAGTTGCACCATACGCAAAGCAAGGAGCTCTTTGATCGTCTAACGTAGCAGAAGTTAGGTGGGGCAAGCCTAGGATAGATTAGGAACCATGCTTGGAGGATCATGGGACTTCGTCACTAAGGTTATAAGTTCTTTAGTTGGGGTTACAAGTTACAAGCACTTACAATTAATTATACTTACCTCACTTATCGCTGTAATTACTAAAGTCCCAAGATCCTCTGACTAGGCGATTATTGTGGAAAAAACATGTCAATAGAAGAGCGGCTGTTGACACATTGTACCGTAGGTTTGGTTGCGGGCCGGACACGTTCTGCTAGATGCGAAGCTACAACATGGCTGTGCATGGGTATCTTATGTTAGTTTGGGAAACGGGATCGTACTGGCGGGGCTACCAATCCCCTGAGAAATCATCAGACGCTTGTCGCCTCTTGCATGTTACTACTTACTACCTACGGACGGCTTGCTAACTGTGCTTGACAACAACTTGGCAAAACTACAGATTCTACAGATTACCTGATTACCTATCCTGCTCACAGACCAAGGTGGCCAAAGCTTCACCGATTGGCACAGCACTGTTAGAAGCTGCAAGAGTGTTTTCAATCCCTCCGAACCGCACAAGTGAAGCCACTCTATGCCGCTGCTGCGAAGTTGTAGATTTTCGAAGATCTCCTGTCAGCAAATTACTTCCAGGGCTCGTAGGCTTGTTTGGGTGAAGGCTTTTGGGGCCGTCTGGTTTTGTGACTCTTGTGGACCCAGACTCAGACACACAAACTGCAATGGACCACGCAATCACAGAGGAGCAACTGTAGTTTGTCGTCTGGGCTCCAAAATTATTCCAAGCATCGGCTACAACAAAGGCAGCCAGATCATTATCTTGTCTGTGATTCTTTGGACACCCATTCTCCTTCCGCTTCTTGGCGATGCCGGGAGCGCAGATTTCAGACTTCCTGGGCAAATTGGACGAAACTGTGACAAAACGTGCCCCAGATAAGAGGGTTCAGCTGAAAATCGCGAGATAAGGACCTAACTCTCAAACTTGTCCAACCAATTCCCTGGCAAACCCAGGACAGAACCGAGGAGAAGAGAACCGAGGAGAACCGAGGAGAACCGAGGGGAGAACCGAGGAGAACCGAGGAGAACCGAGGAGAACCGAGGAGAACCGAGGAGAGAACCGAGGAGAACCGAGGAGAACCGAGGAGAACCGAGGAGAACCGAGGAGAACCGAGGAGAACCGAGCAGCACCAGGAGCAGGAAAAGGGGCTCGATGGGCTCAAAATCTGGCTTCTGTGAGGCTGAAAGCTGAAATCACCCCTGCATGGCTCTAAATTGCTCTCGGGCGACGAATTTGGCCAAGTGGCCACACAGGCAAGGAAAACGAAGGAAAGCGAGGAGTGCGTGCCCCCGCAGAAGCAAGTCTCCTTCACACGTGCCAAGGTCCGTGAAGTGGAGGGTTTTTGGTTTGGGGGTAAGGGCTCGGTGTTAGAGGGCACGGGTGGCTTTACAACTTTAGGGTCACTACAGCCATTACAACTTCGCTTTTTTACAACACTGTGAACATAGTTTGCTGAGCAGTTGAAGGACCTGAACAGCCTAAACAATCGCTTCCAGTAGACAACGGGATTTCTAGAACCATTGCTGGGGAAGCCACAGATACAATTCCTAAGGTAATCTGGCATTTTTGAAAGATTTGAAAGACGGGGCTATGTCGCTGCTGGACGCATTTGCAACTTTCTGCAATTGTCGAAATACCACCCAGGAAACCAACCCTGCTAACCCAGGATCCTCAGGGTCAGACAAAACAAGTCAAAGGAAGCTGCTCCTGTGCACTCATCACAGCTGCATCGGTGGAACTGTCAGCTGGCCTGCCAAGCTGGATTGATAGCATGTTCTGCTACCAAACAACGGATCACCGCACTGGTTGGGTTGCACAGTATTTCACCCTACTCTGCTTAAAAGGACACAGTTCGCTTGACATGTGACACAGTCGCATACCAGAATTGAGCTTTGAACTTTCCAAAACTACCGCTGCAGATTCAAGCAGCATCTGCAACGCCCGCCTCGGGAAAACAGCAGGGATGCCGCTTGCAGTTGTCATGCTCACGGGTGTGCGCCCGACGATGCACTGCCCTTTGCCTTTGCCTTTCCCTTTGCCTTTGTCTTGGCCTGGCCGGCCTTTGCCTTTGGTGCTGCTTTGGCAGGAGCAGCACCAGCAGCAGCTGGCACGATGGCATAGCGCAAGTTGTCCTCGTCAAGTTCTGCTGACCTGGGCAAGTAGTCAACCCCCAGCAATGGAACCCAAGGGCACTCTCTGACGTGCTCCTTGCGAGTGTCGTAGTCATAGCTTTGCAGCAGCCACCACTTC